GAACCAAGGCGAACGTGCCGTATAGCCTCGAATCGTTGGTTTCTTCCTGACAGAGAATGCAGGTTCCGCTCGGATACTTCCAGAGCTTGGCCTCGGGGGCAGCTTCAGGCTCCGACTCAAGATCGCTGAAGTCCTCCTCTCCCCAATCAATGGCGCCTTGACTGTTCAGGAAATTCTGCTGCTGTTGTTGAAATTGAGCCATCACTCTTGCCTGTCGCTCAAGTGCCTGCTTCTTCTTTAATTCCTTCTCATTATCAACATCAATGGCAGGGGAATTCGTGTCCACTCTGTCGAATGGGAACGTCAAGGAAGCCGTAGCAGAAGCATACGCCCGTGGGCACTTCTGCCACAGTCGCTTGAGAATGTGCCGAATCTTCGGCCCGCAAGCAGAGAATTCGGGCATAACAGATATTTTCTCTAGCAATCCGATGATGGTCAGATTGCCCGCTTGAGTCCCTCTGGCTCTGGACAATGCATTCGAAATGAAAGATTCCCTCGCCTCATCTGTCATCTCGTCCTCCCGACTATTGTCCTCAAGAGTGGCGGCCAGGATGAGATGTAATACCACTTGAAGGAAGGTTTCCACGCGCGTGGATGGGATGTTCGGCGAACATTCCTTTGACGACATCACATAATCGAGGCATTGATGGACAAGCTGAGCGAATAGCGGAGTCCTCGTGAAATGGGAAAGACCAGAGAAAGCGCCGGAAGCGATAGGTCGCAGATGCGGCTCAAAGACGATATCCGACGCTTTCTTTCCCGTCCTTTTAGCTACCCGTTCCCTGTAGATGCTCTCTGCCTCATCTCGTTGATTTTTGGTGTAATGAGCGCTATAGGGGTCAATGAGATCAATATATTCCGGCTTGAGCTCAAAGGTGCCAGTATCATTCAGGCCTTCAGGCGGACGGAATCCTGCAACCTCTTCCAACGTCTCTTGGAACATGCTCGAATCAAGTAGCTTATCACTCAAGCGCGTTGATAGGTCGGAGAACGAAAGAGGCTTGAAGCACAGGACATGGGCAATATCCCTTCGGATGTTGTCACGGGTTACAGTTTCATTATCGTCAATAGCCTCGAGTGAATTCCGGTCAGTCAGCAAGATGATCAACAAATGGACAAACTCCTCGGCTACATCAATGATCTGCGCATCCTCGTAGCCAGCACGTGGAGTATAGTTTCTGGTCATCCAGTCCACCATGCCGAAACGATCTGCTATCGACGCCAGAACCCTGCTTGGATCGCACGTCACTAAAGCGGTCTGCAGGAGAAAGATATCGCGGTAATACGCAAAGTCACGCGATGACACTCCCCGGTACTGCGACATCTGATGCCGAAGACTGAGGCCGTTGCGAACCCACATTCCAGCCTTCATCTGTGCCAGCCACGCGCATACTCTCAATGGGTAGTCAAACATGGTAAGCAGCAAGTCGTCGGGGGTGAGGGAGCTGTCGCGAATAATATTGTCGTTGGCCATGCGAGCGGCGTCTAAGAGAACATCGCGCATTTGAACACCGCTCACATTACGCGCACATTCGAGCAACCACGAGAGTGTGTAATGCAGTGCATGGTGAAAGCTGATAGACCCCTTTTCGACGACAAAGTCCACCACGCGATGACGCGGAATTCGCTCAGCGTGGTCGACCTCGAAATCAAAGCACGGCAGCAGCTTGAAACGAACGTACTCTTTGACCTCTGCCTGCTCGAATCGCTGGCGCTCCAACCCGGCGGAGTGAACAATTGCTGAAACGGCAGCCATTTGGATTGCCCTGAACAGATTCTTCCCACCATCAACTTCAGGATTGCGGAAAGCTTCACAGAACTGGCGGCAGAGACGATTGATTTCCCGCATCAGAATTGAAGCGCTTATCCAGGCGTCTGGCTCGTACTCAACATGTTCCCCAACTGCGCGGATATTCGGACAGATACCCTGGGAAAGCTTGACAAGGTCTAGGAACTGAGAAAGATATTGCTCCTCGGTACGAACATGGTGCTGTACATACTCGGATTGCAAAAGGTAACGCAGATCCAGGAAGAAGTGGTAAAGGCGCCGGTTGGTGACTGTACCTGCGTCAAACGCCAATGTTGCGTTTGGATTGACCTCATATGCTTCGCCGACCTGTCTTGTGGTCAAGAACGTGTACAGGATAGCCATCACTTTGGTCAAGAAATTTCCACGCCGCACGATCTCTTCAGTTATAGACGGCGTCGTGAGGATCTGTAAGGAAAGGTTCACAATAGAATGATCTGGTTCTCTATCGGCAATGAGGTACAATTGCGCCAATGCGGTGTAGAGGGCCGACATGCGCAGGCCCAAAATTCGTTTGAATTGCGGAACACTGACCACGGTGCCGATGTAAAGATCGCGAAGATCGGTGCGCGTTTTCTTCCACAACCTGAGATCGAATAGAATCATCCAGTCCAGTCGCGTACGTTGATAAAAGTCCTCGTAGACAGGTACGTTCTCCCTGAACGAAAAGCCAGCAGGCCGAGTCAGCCAATACCCCGGCGCCCTGGCTGGAGGAGGCTTGACCACTCCGGAGGGAGTTTTAGGAATGGCAACGGTGGAGATGTCAGCGCATTCGCCAGTGTCATCAGCACTGTGCTCTTCACCGGCCGGATGCACGTCGTGCTGAGTCTGTTGTGCGTCCTGCGCTCGAGACTGTTCCTGCTGCGCTTGTAGCTCCTCTCGTTCCCGCCGTTCCTGCTCGTCCATCAACGCCATCCGCCTTTGACGTAGATCCTCGAGGAGGCTCGCAGCGATTTCGAGGGGTACGGTGTCATCAGCATTGCCCATGACCATATCCTCATCTTCCTCCACCTCTTCTCGCAGTCTGTTCAAATCGATCTCCATCTCCTCGTCCTCGTCATCCGCATCTTCATGGGTCTCGGCACGATCCTCGTCATCATCGCCTTCCCCTTCGTCATTACCATTACCATTGTCATCCTCATCATCTTCAAGGTCCGCTTCAGGCGCGAACATCACTTGACCTTGAGGAGCGACGGCGGCCAGCATGAGCGTGCGGTATGGGGAATGCTCCTGTCTGGCGTGGTCATCGATGCCTTTCAATCCAATACTGGCGTTATAAGCACCACTGCCTTGTCGCCAAGGACTGAGGAGCTCTTCGCAGATTACATGGCGCAAAATCTGATCGTCTTCCAGCACGGTGCACCCCGCAATATCAGAAAGCCATTCGACAATAGTTCCGCACATTTGCTCGCGAAATGTATCGCGAGCAGATCGCACTGTAGTCGTAACCTTGATCTGCTCGAGGACTTGGGATACCTTCAGCAGTTGGGACAAGTCCTTGGACTGTCTGACCACAGTCCTCCCAATATCATTGGTTTCGTAAGCCTTCTTCTCGCCGAAGCGGATTCGTTCCCGGCAAGCCCGAGCGACCTGATTAGCCACGTCCCGAATAGTATGTTTCTCATCATTCCAGAGGGCGCAGGCCCATTCCGGTTCTTCCTCAGCGTGATCTCCGCCACCGTACCAATCTCCGGTAAGTCGCGATGCCACTTCATCCTGTCTTATGCCATCCTCTGTCTTTGGTAATCTCAGTTGTTCGGGAGAGCACGAAATGACATCGCAAAAATAGTCCATCACTCGGGAAATCGTAAGTCTGATATTTTCCGCCCAATCCGAGGGCAGGTGAGTCTGAGCGCGCTGCTTGCCCTTGGTGTCGCCGCGATCGGTATGAATTGCGCAGAACAAAGGATACCGCCAGGCTTCATCGTCGCCGCAGTCACAGCAACCACAGTTACCCGACGATAGTGAGATCTGGTACTGATGGTCCGAGTGGTCGGAGGCGTCAAAGCATTTACTGCATAGGACACACGTATCATCAACAGCACAGGTAACGCATCGATACGTTGCCTCCCCGGCCCGGAAAATATGACCGCATCGCTTCCCCCGCGCAGCTTCTGTGTACTCTGCTCCTTCTTGAGCACCTTGCGCTTCCGCTAGCTTCCATGGCCCTTCTGGAAACCCGTTCGGGAAGAGCTGGCGTAAACGGTCTTCATCGAAGCCTACTAGCGAACGAAAGAGGAGCTCGAGCAGATCTCGCTCGGCCTCAGGTCCATAGCGACAACCGTGTTCGAAGGGAAGCCGAAGGAGGCCTTCACCAAGTTTTCTCTCACATTCCGTGAGCATCATTCAGCTTGATATAAATGTAGATCCAACTCTCATTCAGCTGCCCAAAGCGGGAGTCAGCACTGCGTAGAGTCGGTTGGCGAGATGGAGTTCCGTGCGGCGGGACAATGAGGGCGATTTCGAATCTTCCACTGCGTATGATAGATAATTGGCAGGAAAGCGTTTACGTCGTGAAGGTCGCTAATATAGACAGACAAACAGACGATATATGGAACAAGAAGATCTGGAGATAGCGTAAACCTAAACTCAAAACAAAAATAAATGTATTAGTGGGCGGGTGAATTAGAATATTGGAAGAGAGATGATATGACTGTCTCCTCGGCGGGGCGAAGAGCTCTGGTAAGCCTGACAAGAACACAGCTGTAGAGAGATCAAACTCACCAATAAGAGCTTCAGACCATGAGAATCTTCCAAAGTCTCTTCCTCCGTAGCTCCACAAGATCAAAGCTATGAAGACAGCCAAAAAAGATACTATAACATGAAGAAGCAAACCCCAGGGTGTTGATGGGCAGCTGCTGCTATGATTGCGTTGCCGCACGCAAACAGCGGGTGACCGCTGGATGTCTTTTGCCGCCACTGAATCCCCATTCGCGCATCTCCTCCCCACTAGAAAGGGACCTGATAGACAGCTTTCTACCTTTCAAAGAAAAAGGACAAAACGAATTGGTGATGAATGGTTGGTTACAGCTTTTCCAAATTCTATTGCATACAATCGGGCTGAAAATAATAACAACAATTCCCCCTCTGCACTCAGCAGTAATGTAACATGGTCATCAGGCAACTTCCCCCGAGGATGCATCTGACGAGAATTGGTGCTGCATCTCTATTCTTCTAGCGAGCATCCACGTCTCTACTCTTCCTCTTCCTCCTCCTTGTTCATGTAACGGTACTTGATGTCCTTCCATTGCCGCTGTAACGTGTATACTCATCAGTCAAACGTTCCGCATGTATCTCACAAAGGGACAGGATCGAGGAAGGTAACGTACACCGCGGTTCATGGTATCCCAGATCTTGTTGGAAGCAGTGTCAAAGGCCCTATTCGGATGGCATTGTCAACGTTTGTGTCTCTTCGGGTCCAATCGGGTTTCAACCGTACATCTCGAAAGCGAAGGCACCGGCAAAAATGGTGGTCAGGTATACCGCGTTTCTGCGGATCAGGCCCCTGTCAATCGCAAAAAGGAGTCTAGGTTAGCGATGCTCGAAAGTCGTCCTCAAGTGATCAGGTAAAGGCAGGGAGACATGCTGGTAGATGGCGGAAGCGATCTGTGTCGGACGGTCCGGAGTTAGCCAATTGCACATTCACCATATATGATTCAACCTCAGCAGTACTTACAGCGCTGGCCATTGTGACTGTAGATGACTTAGATGGGAGGAGGGCGAGAAAAACAGGAAGACGAGCAAAGCCAGTTGCAGACGAGCGAGGTACTGCCAAACGGAGAGGTTGAATTGAAGTTTCGAGCCGGCGCGAAAAGCAACAGCGGGAATCACCGGGTCGCTGATTGGTCGACCGGGACAAGTCTCACGCAGAGCCTCCGGGTGTCCGTCTTTAGCATTTCCTCGCTCAACAACCAATATCAACATTTCATTCGATAGTCTTTCTTCTAGTCTCACAATCTCTGCTACAGCAGAATTATCTCCATCATCGACTTGTGAGCAATTACTACCAACCTGCTAGATTAAGCCTCAATGGCGTCCACGAATTCCGGCATCACCACAGACGCCCAAACCGGGGAACGTTACATCCCCTCTTCAGTCCGCCCGGACGGTTCCAAGCGTCGCGAGATCCGAGTTCGACCAGGTTACCGTCCACCAGAAGATGTCGAACTGTACAAGAACCGTGCCGCAGCGGCTTGGAGAAACCGTGGTTCTGGCGGGGTTCCAGGCGCGGAAGGGTTAAACGAGGCGAGCGAGAACAAAGCCAACACAGCGGCCAGCAACAAGAACGCGAAGCGCCGAGAGGCGAAGAAAAAGGCCAAGGCAGCGCAGGAATCTGAGTCGCCTTTGACATCTACACAGGCCAACGGGCCAAGTGTGCGGGATCTAGAGAACTGGCGTTCGGGTGCGTCTGCTGCTGACAAGAAAGACTCTACCGCTGAGGCGCAGCCGGAAGTCGATCCTGAAGCGGAGAAGGAGAAGAAAGCACGGAACCTGAAGAAAAAGCTCAGACAGGCGCGCGATCTGCGTGACAAGAAGAACCAGGGCGAGGCGCTGCTTCCCGAGCAGTTGGAGAAAGTGATCAAGATCCAAGAGTTGATTCGTCAGCTTGATGCACTCGGCTTTGATGCTAATGGCGACAAGAAAGATTCTACCGAAGAGAAAGAGAAGGTGAAGGAGAAGGAGAAGGAGGGTGTCTGAATGAAATTGTGGGCAACATGCTCTCTGAACTCACAGAACGGAGTGCGTACCACTGTTCGAGTATTTCAGCAGCACTCGACATCTTAACTCTGGAATCACTGCAGAGTCTTCCCTCAAAGCATAGCATACATGGCTGCTGGACAATATGTATATGGCCGTGACTACAGGTGTCTTATCTAGGGCAGCAGTGACAGCCTCGTCTCCCAGGCACCGTACGTCCATTACCGATTCGAGGAGGGATTATCGGCAGACGACGACAATGCGTTCTCGTCCGAATCATCGTCAATGAACAAACCCGAACTATGCTGGGTCGGTATGGTCAATGATGGAGAGTGATTATCTCCAGTTGACTCGTCCGCAGATCACCCACACATCCGTACCAATGTGTTCAAATGCCCGATAGTCATCAAATCACAGACTAGGAAACATTTAAGTGCATTCAATGGTCATTCCAATATTCTTTCTATTTGCAAGATAGCGCATATTGTACAATTGTGCAAAGGAAAGGCTGCCCCAACACTAACTAGAAGAAATAATTGCGTTCGGACCTAAAAGTCTCGGTCATTCGCACAGGAGACGTCGGTATACCACCCTCTAGTTCCCAGTCCTGCCAGCGGTACTTTATCCACGGGACATCACTACTCGGCGCATCGAGCTTAAGTGCGCCAACACCGTACGACGCAGCCATGTACGCCTGCCGAACACAATCCGTCACCCCCACGCCATTGTACCAATTTCCAGCCAGAGTCAACCGATTATTGAAATCCTGGCGCACTGTTTGTGAAAGGTCCCGCATGCGTGACAGATGACCGACCGTGTACTGGGGAATAGCTTGATGCTGCAGTTTGACAGCAGCCTGAAGAGGCTGATCGGTGATGCCAAGATGTCTCTGGAGCAGGGTTTGGCACATCCGTATGGCGGTCTCCCCGTCTGGGTAATCTGTCTTTTTCCAACCATCCCAATAGTGCCCGCCCAGCATTACAGTGAGCTTGGTACAGGGCGCAGTGTCCTGGCCTACACTAGAGTCGGAGCCGAAGATCACACCCAGGGCCATCTCGGGATTCTGTTCGAATGGAACCGACCGCGGGATCAAGTAGCCGAATCCGTTGACAGGGAGTAGATTGGGATTCTCATACAGAAGGTTGACAACCATCACGCTCACGGCGTAGTTGTGTTCTTGCAGTTGGCGAATCGAGTTTTGAGGCAACTTCTGTCCCGATCTTGTAGGCTTGGCCAACTGTTGTGCCAGGTTGGGCGCCGGATTCGTTGCAATCACACGGTTATGGGTATTCGACTTCTTCTCTCCGAAGTGGATCTGTAACCAAGCATATTAGCCTCAAACTTATATAGTTGCCTATAACTACACTTACGGTCAGATCAGAGTTGACTGGATTTGTGCTAATAGCATTCACCTCTGTACCAGTCAATAAGTCCACTTTCCTGGATTTGCGTAACGCCGCAGCCAAGGCATCAGTAAGCTGCTGCACGCCGTTTTTCAACGTGATAACACTAGCGTCTCTGACCAGCGTCTTCAAACTACTCCAATAGCTCTTCTGCTTTGTCGCAGCCAGCGAGTGCAGCGCCAGCCAATCATCCATGAGATTGTACGTGATGTCATTAGTAGCTGCATGTAAAAGGCCCGCAAGCACGCCGCGGTCATCATGCTCAAGGTCCCTGTAGGTTCCCAGTAGGGTCTGCGCGCTCAGCCGGTCAATATCGCCGGCGTAGATACCATGATACACGGCCGAGACTATGTTATCTGCGACCTCGGGGGCAAATCGCCGAGAAATGAACTCCCTCACAGACTCGTCGGAGTCAATAGACTTGTGCTCCGGGGGTAGCTTCAATGGCTCCGTCAAAACACTTCGCACGAGTTTGTCAAAGACAGGTTCCGTAAGGAATGTTTGTAAGTTCGAGTAGAGATTTGAGAACTGGCTACGGCTGGGATCGCGACCCGGCATGCGAACAAGGTGATCGGGGTAGTAAATGTAGCGATTTTGGGCCGCGGGGGAGGACCTGCTCGTGATCAACACATCCTCGAGTAAATCTAGCTCGACCAGCTGCGAGACAACAATAGAGCAAAAGGGTTAGCTATCCGCTATCCGGATACTACAAGAGGAGTGTGTTTTTCCCGTACCAAGTCAAGAAGTGGGAGACACGCGGGAGTCGCAGCCCGCAGGGTCCTTGGCCCATATTCGAACACAACTTTCCCATCATTGTCGCCCACAGGGACGGTCTGCGATATCATCCAGCCCCCGACCCGCTGTTCTTTTTCGTACAGGGTGATTTTGGTGCATTTTGGGTCCTGCGACAGGCGGAAGGCCGTCGCGAGACCTGTGATGCCACCTCCTATAACCGCAGCGTTGTAAGTGCCACCAGTATGCAGTGAGTGCTTCTGGCCATTGCGGGCGAACGCCAATGGCGTCCGGACTGCTCTCAGTGCACGGCTAGGGGCACATGGCAGTCGCATCTCAGTGATGGTGTATAGGGAAGGCTATCAAAGGGAAGATGAAGAAACAGCATGACTGAGTGAGGCACGATCATGCAAAAGGACATCTCCAACTTCCGACCCCCGGCGGTAAAATTACCAGTAAGTATGGTAATAAACCTCAGTACAACCAACATTGCTCAATCTTGTCGAATATTTCTTTGAGAGGTACAGCTACAGTTGCTCACTAATAGAAGAGAATTTAGGTATGACGCATTTCGAAACCGTTCATGATACCCAGATTCTATTTACAAGCCAACATGATGATGTTCTGTCATTACACTGCCCATGAGTCGGTGAGAAAATCAACAAACGCCCTTCCAGCCAGCCATTGAGAAATAATACATGACAATCAAGCTTGAATAAGATATTTTGAAGCCAATTTCTAGGTTCAACTGACGCCCGGTGTATGACCGTTCGAATTTAGAAGATATCGTAGAGTTTGCCCCCCCGGAGAGGGGGTAGTTCACGTTATTATTTCCTGGTTCTGAGTAGCATCCTCGCTTGCAGCACCAGGCTTGATCAGCTCTTCAGCAGCATTCTCATCTGAAACAAACTTCCTCTCGCTGACACGGGGCTTGTTCTGTTCCGCAGTCCAGACTTTGTCGGGAAAGGCACCTTTCTGGCCTTCCGCATGCTTGTAAGGACAGCTTGGGTTGAGGCATGGGTTGAATTTGCAAGGTGTTTGAAGATGGGTGAATTTGCAATTTTCCGCAGTGCAGTCGGCACCGTTGCGGCACAGAGGCATTGAGGGGTGTTTGAAGGAGCAGTGAGGGTTGGTACAGTGGGGGAAGAACTTGCAGAGCTCCTCAGCCTGGTGTGCGGACTTGACGGCAGGAGAAGGATGACGCCCTGTACATTTTCGGTTTTTGCACGCGGCGCCGTATGAGCATATATCGGCCACGTCCACAGGAGTGCCTTCCGGGGCGGCCGGTGACTGGTGCGCGAAGGGGCAGTCTTTTCTGGTACAGCGCAGATTGAAGCGGCAGACACTGTCGGTATTGCTCTCATCCTGTGCGCCATCAGGCTTGGTATCCATGTCGCCGTCAGACGGTGATTTTGCCGAAATGCCAGGGTGCTGGGCACGTTTAGAGAAGTTACCATGGGGACGTCCTTGACGTTCAACACGGTCAAACAACGAGCGCCCTTGTTGTTGTTGGTTGTTTTGCTGAAACGCTGGGTTGATCGCCGGCGAGACAAATCCTGGCATGAGCTGTGCCATCATCCGAGCTTGTTCCTCTAGCAGAGACATCAAGTGCATCTGATCTTGCGGGCTCATGTTGTTCATCGATTGGGCGGCCCCCATGGGCAGTCCGTTATTCATTTGCCGCCTGCCCCCGCCGTTCTGATGAGGCCGTCCTTTGATGTGGTCCCGACCATGAGAATTGATCCGGCCATGTTGACCGCGGACACGGTGTAAAGTTGAGTCACTGTTGCGATCTAAAGTTCTGTTGATCTGGTTCAACATCCGCCCCCTCCCACCCTGGCGTCCGCCACGCATCGACTTCGGTCCTGTAGGTCTGAGTCCGTCATTGTTAGCTGAAGTCCGTGACAAGTGCCTTAGAGCGGGAACCCACATCGTATCATCCGTGTGCGAGGCATCAACCATGCTCATAGTGGCATCCTGATCTCCTCCTCCTCCAGGGCCCTCTTGCGAAGTCGCTGTTTGGTCGTTGAACGACGGGATAGCCTGTGCCGTCGCGTTTGCGATCGGTGCGCCACCGCCGTTGATCTGTCG